CAAGCGAACATATCACCAATACGCTAGCCAACTAACAAAAAACAATACCTGATGGGCTTCCTCATTTCAATAGTCTAACCTGGGTGCTCTTGTAGTCCAGCAGTTCAATGACACGCCGCAATCCGCCCAATATATTGCGCATGCTGATGTATCACAGGATGAACTACGATACATTGTGTCCACTAAGTATGACCAATGTCCTCGTTAACATTATCCAACGAGCATTGGCTTGTATCGTGCACATGTATGGGTGTAACTATTGAGTGCGGAGTGTAAGGTCCGTAATCTAGGTATAACTTTCAAGAAGGCAAATAATAGGGAATGAGTAGAGCGTGTATCGTTCAGATCGTTTTATGTACTGAAGTACAACAATACCACTACATCTCGCCTTAAAGTTGACTTCGTATTAGCCATGTTGGCAACATATGCTTCCATAGCACCCTACGAAAATTTTTAGGACTTCAGCACGAAAGATAAAACCCAATTTGCAGTATAGCACAAGGATCCCCGTCTAAACCGCACCTCCACCCCATAATTCAATGCTCAGGGTTGGAAGGAATACTTAAGGAAAATCTCCTCTTTTACCGTGTCCATCTTGACGTAACTCTATGGGCGCGCATGTGCCAGATTCACTAAAATTGGACTCGTTCTTCAACACTTTTGGTAATGTTACTGTCACACATGCGATGCACACCTTTTCCGTCCGCAACGGTTACCGTTCCCCTTGAGTCAGTTCTCAGCGTAGCAGTAGCAGATAGATGGTATCGTTATTAACACTTGTCTCATTTGGAAGCAACTCTCGTATACACTAGTGAATAGGCTTGGTTATTCATTAAAGTTAACATGTAGCTCGACTGCAGGTTTGTTGCATTTGCTTTTCAAACCTACTGCATCATTCTTGTGAGAATATTCTAGCGGACAGTTGTGATTTTTAGTTGCATATAACCACTTTCAGGATAGATTTGCCTTTCCAATAGGTGTAAAGATTGTTATATGTGTGCGAAATTTGAACATAACCATGTATAAGGCGATATTTACGCCCTGTGTCTCGCACAATAAGAACGAGAAAAAGGTTCACCTCATTTTCCAACCAAATGCCCAACACACCCTTACTATTGGTTAAACTTAAGCTTTACATCTATAGTTGTTTCACTGCCTACTCAGCCTTAAGCTTAAACCTCAACTCGATATGTATGGTACAAAGGAAAAGTATGAAACAAGATTAATATGATCAACCTTAATTATATAGCAGATACAGTTTTATCTAAGAATGTACAACACCTGAGCTTCGTTTGATGACACGAAGCTGAGGTCAGCAACACAATTTAGCTGGGGCGACTCACGTAGGTTACTTGCCACAATGCTGTTTAATGTATCCCAATGTTCCTGTTTCAAATCGGCCCTAAGCCTATGTTCTTCAAAGCTGTCCTTTTCCGCAAGTGGTGAGTAAATGTATTGAATATATTCGTCGAAGTTATCATCACTAGTTCTTCTCTTGACTCGATCTCAACCATAATGATATCGTTACCATTGGCTCATTAATCTGTTTGGAAGATTCTATGCAGTGACATCACTTCCAGCTTGCTTATAATACAGCCGGTACTTTTGTAAAAAGCATACTGCTTTTTCATTTATTGAGCGACGGCCGCCTGAAAAAGTTAAAACAAGCGCTAATGATCCCTCGCTTTGAGTTCAAACTAATATTCTAACCGTTGCATGGGTTGGGATTATTAAGCATCAGTTATGCTATTACCCGTTTGCCCACTAACTAATGCTACGTTCTTTAAAGATCTCCAGGTTATATTAATCAGTACTCTCAAGGAATCTGGTGCATCCCAACGATACACTTGGTTATCCAAAATCCAGTAGGCTACCTTGTCATGAGTTAGTGCGTTGCTAGGTTTATCAGGTCTGAATTTTGCACTGTAGTTGAGAACAATAAAAATAGTTGGTTGTCTGTTAGAATACAGGGAGCTAACTCTCGGTTTACCTATGATAATCGTCCGCTGTGTTTGTTGCCAGCCTTCCATGCTTTATTCTGATTATATAAGCGAGTGGCTCCGCTAAAGCAACACACTAATTTCACGTGTGTATGAATGACTCTGCCGTAGATTAACAACAAACTTGCAGTAATGCGTACTGTTACGTGGAATGCTTCCACACCAAACTGCAACAGATTTCTGTTAAACATTGATACATACATGCCGAGTAACAATAGAAGAGGTACTGTGCAGCGTTTTATACAAATTCATGGCAAGACGAAATAAATAAGTAAACACATGTGTTACAAAGCGTTCACTTGAGATTGTTTCAGTTGGTTGTAATTAATGAACATACGAATTTAGTGTAAGATTTAATCGGAAAACACATGGTACATATTCTAATGGCTTTGTCCATTTGCTAAGTACTTCCAAGCTTTTCGATCACCGCATAACAGCGCCCCAGTCAGCAGTCTGGCCTTGTGGAAGCTATACGGCATTGAGACCGTGCTTTGGCTATAGCTGTCAGGCTTGTACTGCGTAATCAGCATAAGCATGAATATAAGCTTTGATACAATAGAGGAAACTAGAGATCAAGTGCCTAAATTCCGATCTGGAAGATCTGTCACGATCCTCATCAAATAGTGGTTTTTTCTGAGTTTCCAGAATGATCTGTTCGCTCTGATTCATTGAACCGAGTTCACCTACAACAGGTGGAATCCACAGTTGAGGTCCCCTGAGTATATCTTATTATGGGTCGTTTACGACCATCTCGGACGCATGCAACAGACTTCAGATTGATCACCTGTCTACCTCAGTCAGTAGGTACGGAAGCAGTCGCTGGTCCTCATTATGTGCTAATCCTTTGCCGACGGAGGTGGCTACGAGCAGCTGTTAAGTAAAATAAAGTTCGACGAAGACTGTGGTTGTATTGTTATGAATTTTGATTGCGTGGATGCTGTGAAAATCCTGACTAAGTAAACATCACCGGTGCACATTCAAATGTCCCGCTGAGATGCAAAGTATCGCAAGTTTAAGAGGAAGTATAGGGCCTTGTGTGCTTGGAGTTTAACGATGTAAGGAAGTCGGCTACTCAGGCAATTTGTGGAACTGTGTTGAGAACAAAAACTCATCGGATCTTGTCGAGTAGAGTAGAGTTGGTCAAACATTATTCATCTAGCCCAACTTCTTGTCGATAAAGAACTACTTTCTTTTCCTCCATGATAATTAAATTGTAGTTTGGTTACAAGATATTGTAGCTAACATTTTGCTGCTTAGTTGATCACAGATAGACCAAGCTCGACAACCAGGGGAACACCGGAGAAGCGCTGGAAACCCGTATGAATCAATCTATCGGGCTGAGGAAATAAAATGGCAATGCGAAACTTGAATCTGAAGGCCCGCAGAAAGAGTAAGTAAACAAGTGTTGGAGTAATCAAATTTACAATAGCGCCTGCTGTGCAACAAAGAGAACTAGGCTCCACAGATTCCTTTTCCAGTATTAAACTACACGTAATAAATCCTTATTGTAGACGGAAGTAAAGATTCTTACAAGGTGAACGAAATGCATCACAACCAAAACTATCATGCAGTTTTAATTTGAAGTGCTACAAAGCGGCAATTTCTAATTTTAAGACAGCTGTTAACTATGTTGGCTTCAAGGGTTGTTTCCCAGGTGTGTTTTGGGCTTTGTATGATTTTTTAGGGTGAAGTTAACCAATGAATGTCCTTACGTTGTACTGTGTAGATTAGTATACCAAATGATTTGATTGAATTCCGGAAGTCGACTGCATGCTTCATTGGGGCCCATAGAGAAGCCTGTCGCTGCGCATGTCACAGTTGTTTGTTTAATGGACTGACGACTTGGCTTATTGGATCCGTCTACATTTCCCTTGTGTCGTGCTTTGTTATACGCCAAAGCGATTAACTATTTAAGCAAAGAGGAACTGGCTCTTTTACCGCGAGGTTAAGGAAAAATTCCAGTCTATGAAATTCTCTTGCACATAACTTTGCATTCTATGTATTGAAGGTTGCATACATTGCTACGATTGTGAAGGAACAATCATATGCATAACATGTTACAAACACTCTACTGTATGACGACATTGTTAGTCTGGATCAGCGATGCTCACACCAGATGTATTTCTCGATCGTCTGTGGATGAGGGATAGACAAAAACCAAAAGATAAACAAGTTTAGTAAACACTGTAGCACTCATGTTTTAGAACAAACAAAACTTCAATTCACACTTGCTTGTACCTTATATCGATTTTGTGTGTCACACAGTCGGCTGACTGAGACCTTCTCACATTTTACTTGGGTCAGATCTAATGGAATGCCACAAATTAACACACCGACATTCTAATTTTTTAACTTACCACTTACCAACTGAAACCCCACCAGACTATCATGGTCCTGCTGCTCATGCGATTAATTTGAATATCAACCCAAACTATCCCGAGCGTCCATTCTGAAAATTTGCTCAAGCCATTGAAAATCAGATAATGCTGGATGGGCGTACTTTTACCTCCCACCTTAACGGACCTTTCTTAATTGAATTGTAATGCGGGATGAGTACTTGCCCGACTTACCCAAAAACTTTGTTACTTGTAGATATCATGCGCTTGCTAGTGCTACATGCGTGCAAGGCTACACGACCTCCAATATTATAGACTGTGGGAGCATTAAGGTATACAACATAAAAATATCCGAGAATGTCCTCATTGATGACTTATGGCGAAGGACTGTTGATGAGATCAAAATGAAATATAGATTAAAACGGTACTCTGCTAAAACTCGAATCTTCTGTCTAAATTAATGCTTTTGGAACGTAACGAGCTTCACAGTCCCATGAATCGGCACTTGTACTTTTGTTAATCAAGCTGAAATATGGTAACGTATTAGATTAGGACTCATTCGCTCAAACAACTAGGTATTAATATACGTTTCAATTGGACGCAATCTCCTAGAGAAAAGTCATTTTAATCCCTTTGCTCTATAAACGACTCGCCAGTAATAGATACAGTGAAACAACAGGCAATAGATATCAAGGCAACATTTGTTAGACAAAAGCCTTTTTATAGGCAAGGCTTGAATGTTTTTACTCATGAGCTTCCAATGTGTAACTGAATATTGGTCTTACAGTGTTAAGGGATCGAAATGTTTACGAATATATGTTAGGCAAAACATAAAAGCCACACCATCCTCGCTGGCGTTTACGAGGACGAACATTGTAGTCTATCCATTATCTCATTAAGATTCCCATTGCAAGATCGAATGACCCGCTTCAGCTCTTTTTCTTCCTGTTGGAATCCCATCTCACGCAATATTTTTAACGCTACTCCGACATATTTCGTTTTTTCTTTAGTCTTACACGCACCTGGCGTTGCTTCTCGTTTGCAGCTCTGCTTCTGTACTTTGGCACCGTGTGGTTTGCTTACAATGGGCGCAGATGGGGGCTTTACTGTTATGGCACAAATTGTTTCCTTACTGACCGCTGCCTTTGTCTCCAGAGTAGCATCCGTAACCGGTGGAGCACTGGCATCGAGAGAAGGAGGCACGTTTGTTGGAAATGTTTGCAGAGGATTAGATAACATAGGCCATCTTGGAAAAGGCGCCGGATAGAAGGAGTTGCCAGGGTAGCAATGTCCGTAGGGATATAACCCGGCATATGGAGTGTAAGAAGGCAGTTGATAAGTGGGTTGCGGTGGCGTGTTGCTAAATACATTGGGATTCATCGCTGGAGTTGCGGAAACCTGCACCTTTTCAGAGCACTCCGCTTGCTGTTCCGTATTCAGACTCGATTCTAGGCACTTTTCGAGTTCACTAACTTCTTCGTTTGCACGCGTCGAGTCGGAAAGTTCTGCTTTCGGTTGTTCGGTTGTGTTTTCTATCGTTACCAATGGAGTAGATCCAAGAGGAGCTTCTTCAACTTCAGGCTCAATTTCTGTAACTGGTTCATCAACGACAGTGAACGTATCGGAATCGTCTGGCATCTCTCCAAAAATGGTCTGGTGTTTTTGATTGTCTGGCGATACAAACAAGCGAACTGCTTTGTCACCAGAACCCTCCTCGTTGAAATACTCCACGGCCTCCTGTAGATCGGCCACATCGCGTACAGTACAATAATCAGTTCCATCTGCGGGCAAGTAGATAGGCAAATTGGTCTTTAATTCAAAACAAAAGACTGCCATCCTATATGAAAGGCAATTAACATTTGCAAGAACTCGGTTTCTGGGAGCTAGAATTTAGCAATTAACTGTTCGATGCTGCCAAGGTAGAGGCTTCTGACATTTACATTAGTTTTTCCGTAACCAAAACGCAGTCTTAAGTTAAGTTAAGGTATTCATTTTGTAAATATCTCATGATAATTTTTCTAGGGCACAATCTGCAGTAACTGCACATTTAGTTTAGTTTAAAATACTTCCGTTTTTGTTGTGCGTGATGTTCGTCTCATACGGAATGCTCTCCCTAGGAAACCTAAGTCACGTACTTAAAAATCTACAGATAAAAGGATTTACCTTAAAAATCAGAGTGTACCTCTTTGGAAAAGTATAGTATATGGCTATGCCGGGATTAATAGTCACACAAAAATGACAAGTGGTTTTCGAATTATCAGGAGATCGCTTACCAAACCATGACAAGAAGAACTGTGTCGAGGTCGTGTGGAACAGCTTTTGCAATCTGCAGATCAATTCATCCCACATATGCGGTCCAATCTCGCCCTTAGCCATCCATCGAGTGATTTCCGTCTTCGTCTCAGTCCGACTTGATGTGGTGACCAGTTTGAATAAAGGCATATGGAGATAGGGGGATGCGGCACTCAGCCTTGGCTCACAATTTTCGTATTTATATATTTTCTTTAGGTAAGAACGTAAACAAACCGAATTCACGTGAGTAGGGCATCGGGTAAGGTAGAATCGCTGATATTGAGTCATATTGTGTGTGTGTGTGTGTGTGTGCGTCGGTGTCAGCCATATGTCGGTGGTGCGGTGCAGCGTTAAAGGGGTGGATACGGATGTCAATTTGTCACGTTGTGCATGTGTCGGTAAACACTTCCATGTGACTTGCGATTCAAACAGCGGAATGACGTCTAACCACTTTGCTTAGAGATCAAGTACGAAATTAACATACCTTTAACAGATATTCTCTAGTAACAGTTATGATACAAATATCTGCAATATGTTCTAACGTTTACTGTGAAAATCTTGTTTGGTCGAGGTGAACACTAGACCGTAATATCTATTTGGTCCATATTTCTGTAGCTTATCATTTGGTGTGCCGTTCTACAGAATTCCAGGGATGAGATGTTGATAAAAACAATCAGTAGTTGTGTCACTGGCAAACCGTTCCATTTGGTTTGATTTATATAAAGGGAAGATCTGCAGCGAGCGGTGATATAAACCGTCGAAGGAATGAACAACTGATGCCTATTCCGTGAGGAATAATAGGTGGATCGATTTAGGTATACCGTACACTCGGTGTTAAATGTCAGCATAGTTAAGAGAAGAGAGAGAGTGGTACTTTGAAGTACATGACATCTGGCTCAACTATAAGCACCAAAAGTTTTAGTCTTATATTATGAAACAAAATAGGACAGTTGGGAATTCAGTGGCCTCCATGATCTCGGAAGATACTGCTGTTCGTTCAGTAAGAACGGTAGTACATATGTGTTATCTTGGGTGTGCTTAGATTACATGAAATGTTGTGTATTAAAGAAGACATCAGGTTGCTCGAGAAATAATGTGATACCTGGCTGCTAATAATTTTAGCCAACAATCATCAAAACAGGCCAATATCAAACATAGCGGGCCAAACATTCTATGGATAACATATGCCAGAAGATCTATACGATCATTACTAAGATCGAACATACCAAATTCCTTACCCTTCCCCTCCTTGGAAATCGCAACATCCTTCATGGAAACATATGCATGGATGAAAGGTAAGTTCTGAATTACCTGCAAATATCTTACACTAAATGTTTTTATACTAAAGTGTCCACTTTGATTCATCGGTAGCTTTGTCACAGTTTCAACTAGAAACTCTTTGGTTGTGACGACTGAATATACTCTTGTGATTATGCAAAATATAACAAACCTGAAGATATATTCCGAGATGTGCACGTTAGAATTGCAATACGGCTTCACTCGGAAGCCTAGCAGCAACACTTGAAACGACTTGTGCTAAGCACTTGAGCTTGCGGTTGGACCATTCCAACGCTCCTGTTACACCAATTCATGAAACTGCCTAGTTGTACTACCACTCGGATAGCCGCAAAATATGCAACATCTAAGTACAAATAACTTTTCGATTTAACTTGTTCCTCACAGATGGCGCTTTCCCATGAAATAACTTTCCAGCCACAATCAGATGTTGGGCAACTGCAAGAACATTCCGCCTCAAACCTGAAACTTCTCTGCACCAGAACTCGATAGAGACTACTCTTAATCGGGAAATCACAGAACGATAACAAATAGTGAGCATCTGGGACACAAAACCTATCATGAAAAAAACCGTGTGTTTCAGCATTTGTCAACGACACAGGCACCACTGAAGCTACGTACCATACCTAAAAGATTATAGTCATAAATTTAACCAATGAAATCTCCCAGTTACGGGAACAGCATGTCGCGTGTCATAGAAATGTAAGTATTGGTACAATTCGTATCAATATCAATATTATTATTATTATCGTGAAGTGTTCCATATTTTACACTATAGTACTGTGGTTTGCTTCAGTGGCACTTCGACCACCCCTTTATGTGTGGTCTGTAGAGGTAAACCTTCTGATAAACCCCGTCAAGTTGCACTTTATAAGGATGGGTAAGTGTGATCACAGTCGAAACTACTCTGTGCAGGTGAACCGTTTATCCCTGGCTTTTCATATAAGACCTCGGTGTACTCTCACGCTGCGACATAAAGCTCATGGATAACACAGATAGACTTTGCCGAAACTACCTGCGTATACTTTGGGCCTTCAAACGCAGCTTCAGCACTTGGTCCGAAGAGATTGTCACTCACCTCTTCATCACAATAAAGTGATCAATGCTAGAGTACGGCCCACCCGCATACTGTTCTATCATCCGGGGTGAAGCAGAAAAGTTTGAGCGGGTACAGCATGTGACCAACAGACTGATCCCCAACCTACGAAGTGGGCCGTATGATACTTGATTAAGAGACTGGGGCTTTACACACTATATTATCGTCGGTTGCGTTTTGGTATCATCATGGCGCATTGGATACTACATCTCGATTCTTACCCCATGTTGGTGCCACTGCTGCATTTGAACACACCAAGCAGCATACGATGAGACTGCTTCAAGCTCGTAGCATCGGATTTGAAGCGGGTCGCCCACCAACTCCGTTTCGAACGAACGATGGTTCATGAATGGAACAACCTGCTGCAGCACGTAGTTGAGGTAAAGTCGGTGTCGGAATTCAAAGACAAACATTTGGCGGACGCGCAATATATCGAGCCCACTCCAACATAACTGGTTTTTGTATCTGAGTGAGATTAGACGCAGCTGCACATAGATTTCTCTTTTTACTGCTTTGAGTCAATTCATTCATTCAATACGAAAGCTAATTGCAAGGGGAAACACCTCAGCTACGGCCCCGCAATAAAAAAGAACATAAAAATGTGAAACGCCGGCTGCATCTTCGGTAACGGATGGACATCGTCCCGGAGAATTAACCGCCAGTTATTGTGCGGCAAAAGGTCATATAATACCTACTAATTACGATGCTGCGAATCAGCTACTTACCATTTACTGACTTCGGATCAGTAGATAGTAAGTATCTTTACATGTAACTATTGGGAAATAGCGTGGTGTGATATTAACCGAGCGTAATCTTACATTGCCTGAATTTTGTATAGAAAATCAGGGAGCATCTGGCCATTGACGCAAAAACTTATAAGGAAGAACTGAGTATTATCAAAGCTAATCAACGATCGCCGATAGTAAATTAGGGCAAGTTATACAATAGTGCATCAAAACTAGTGCGGGTTGTAGTGATTTTTCTTCTCATACCTAAAGGAACAATAAAAATTGGAACATCGGTATGATGCGTGTAAAATACCAGCGCTTGGCGAGTTGCGCACGATAATTTGAGCAACATATAAGTTCAAAGTAAAGCTTATCCATAAAGGTAAACTGCACTCCCATGGACTTTGCATATTATTCGCGTCAACGCACGTGCAAATCCGTTTACCCCGATTTCGTGGGCGGAGCTGGTGGGCACAGTGTTGCCTTTTTGTTTCCGCTTCACTGATGAACGGGAGATACGTCAAGTGAGGTGAGTTAATTAAATCTTTCTCTGGTCGTTTTTCAAAAGTGATTAACTTGGACGCATACTTGAGCATTCCACGGCTAATAACTAGGGAGCGAAACATTGCGGTTACGTTGCTAACAGCTGTGGTGTGCGATCAGCGTACTCATGTAACCTTTTCGTTTTGTGTTGCTACTAGAATTCAGGGAGAGGTGGAAAATGTGACTAGGTTTTTTCAAAATTCAATATATACGGAAGTCACTTCGCAAGCGACAATACCTTCCACTGTACGATACTAAGTTTTCTAGTCGTACACGATATGCCAGATGGTATATGACCTTTGTATTTTCAGTTATCGTTCGTTGTGTGGTCCCCAGTGCAGACAGACCTCGTTTTGACAGAGTTCCTAGGCCTGGATTACTTCACCTGGGTTATTAGCTACACGTTGAGTAGTTGTGGGATGACAACAGGATCGCAACGCTCAAACGCTCTGCAAAGGAAACCCGAAGATTCTTCCTTGTTTTTGACTATTTCGCAACTAAATTCCAACAGTTGAAGTCATCCTGAATCCCTGCGTCAATGACGCGCCCCACGAGGCTTCCGCAAGATGTTGTCTCCCATCCCATATCTGGTATTTCAATGATGGCTTTTCATTTATTCTATTTGTATAGAAGTAGGCTACTCAATTACCACACGGAAGCGTGGTTCGTATCTCGTTTCAACAGGCCGAAATCGTCTTACATATCTTGAGATGAATGGCAAAAGCAAGAAATGCGATTAGGTGGCAAGCAAAACTTTTTAATTAACAGCAGCAATAAGCGCTATCTAATGGAACACCGCATTCCGCCTGAATCTGGTAAAACAGGGGTCTTCAAATTGGCACCGGAACTCGCCGCTGCAGATTGCCATTTCGTGACTCATCCAAGAACATACTTCCTTGTATACAGATTATGGAGATGAGTGCAGTGATTTAAGCGATACGAGACTGGGACATTTGAAGTATATGATTTCGGTTTCGATCGCACTATTGGACTCTTTAGTCCCACTAGTAAAGTCAATCTGCAGGTTGACAATGCATGACTACTTTTGAAGTTAGCCGTGTAGCTGTGATGTTAAATGATGTTGAATTTCACGAAACAACCCATAAGTGTCTCAGCAGTGATAGGTTCCATTACGTCTGAGAGTTCTTGGAGGAGGATCACTAGATGTCAGTTAGTGGATTATATAAAACTTATAACCTTAAAAAACGGGTTAGTTATGTCCTGCTTTCACATGGTATGGATCTCCTTTTCATCTGGTTATCCATAAAAGAGTCGTTATACTGACTAGGCTAGCTTCACTACTGACACTCCCAACACTTTCGCCTATGTGTTGCCAAATCTAGGAGAATTATGGATGCGCACCCAAAGCAAGTTCCTCTATGCCATCACTGGACGGAAGGTGATCTCGCTCAGCGTAGTCATTTGGGGACTGAAGTAATTATGTGATATAAATAAATGACATGTCGGAATATTGAAGCATATCTGCATTGCAAAAACTAGGATGCTAAAGGAGTTAGTTAATGTGGCAAGTACCATCCACTGTACATATCTGCTCCGAACACTAACCGTTC